AATGATTAATCCTAGAGAACCTAAAATTAAATAATGCTCTTTTGTGTATCCTTATTCAAACTCAGTTAGCAAAACAAACATAAACTCAAGATCTAGTCAAATCAGTTTAATGTGAAGAAAATGTAAAATAATATTTCCATTTAGGTTTCTATAATGTTAAAATGGCCTGCTAAACAGGTTTCAAACAATTGGAAAATAATCTTTTGTAGTTCTGCAAGTGGAGTTTTCTATTCCAAAGACTTGAAAATTAAAGCTACATGCACAAATACATGCATATTTATATGTACAATCCATTTGGTACACATGTTTGTGTAATTCTTAGGTTCTCTTTGGTTTACTACAAAACTATATGGGATTCCACTTGCTATAAATTCTATTCCAGCTATTCTGCTTATATTTGCCTCAACATCAATTTCTACACATGAGAGTGCGACAGAAAACTTCCCGTTGCAAAGTCCAACTGCATTGATCATTGTGGAAATGTAAGTATTCGCTTCCCTTTTGGCACAACAGAAGGCTGTTCCCTAAACAGTTCTTTCTTAATCACTTGTAATGACACTCACTACAATCCTCCCATAGCATTATTATTAAACTCAAACATAGAAATCACAAACATACCCCTGGAGGGCCAATTGCTTGTCTTGCAATTCATAGCAAAAGAATGTTTTGCTCCCAATGGAACCAGTGTGCTCTATCGAGAGCCCTATATAGAATTCTCTACAGGCCTCACTGTCAATAATACCGCAAATAAGTTCACCACTGTTGGTTGTGATACTTATGCTTTTGTATCTGGGGATCGAAAACACGGAACAGATATTTTACGGGGTGCAATTCCTGGTGTGAAACCCCGAATGATCTTGGGGATGGTTCATGTTCTGGTCTAGGCTGCTGCCAGACATCTATCCCAAAAGAGGTGTGGAGAGTTAATGTGTCATTGACAAGCTATGAAAGTCACACAAATGTGTGGGAATTCAATAATTGCAGCTATGCTTTTCTTGTTGAGGAAAGCTATTTCAGTTTTTCTCCGAGCAAACTTTCCAGACTGATGCATGTAGACAAGCTTCCTATAGTGGTTGATTGGACAATTGGAATTGGATCTTGTGAGGAGGCTCAAACGAACATGTCTAGTTATGCATGTAAAAGCTTGAATTCCGAGTGTTACAAACCCGACAATGGCTACGGCATCGCTGTTATTGCCAGAGTGGTTATCAAGGAAATCCGTACCTCTTTGATGGTTATAAAGTTATGTTTGGCTTTAATTTTCCTGTGTCATATAGAGTCCAAATCACCTGGTCGTTGGATGGTTGAGTGACTCAAGCATATTATGTATGATCTTGAAATACTATATATTACTCTATCATTGAATGGTCTACTGGAATGCTTAGTATACTCGGTGTTGGACAATGTACAAGATTTTAACTGTTTTCTTTCCTTATTGTTGCTAATGTTGTAGTGTCTCCGAAACTGGAAATTAACGTGGCGATGAGCCACCTTTATTTTCATTTATAATTTTCATATGTTGTGTGCAGATATTGATGGCTGTAGAAGACTTATAGGGAGATTGCTATACTTGACTGTCACAAGATCGGATCTAGCATACTCAGTTCAGTTACTCAGTCAGTATATGAAAAGTTAGAACGCCTGATTTGAATGCTGCCTACAAAGTGTTAAGGTACATTAAAAGAGCACCAGGCCAAAGGTTGTTATTTACTTCAACATCAGCCCTCCAACTTAAGGCATATAGTGACTCAGATTGGGAGGGCATGTTTGGGTACACGAAGATCAATAACAGGTTATTGCGTCTTCATTGGCGATTCTTTGGTGTCTTGGAAATCAAAGAAACAAAATACCATTTCTAGATCATCAGCAGAATCTGAATATAGAGCAATGGCCAGCGTTTGTTGTAAACTATCCTGGCTCA